TTTCCTGCTGTCTAGGAAAGTGCATTTTCACTGGGAAGGCGGTGCACATATGTACTTAATAGAAATGTGAGGCACACTGTGATAAATACCATAAAGCATTCCTAAAGTAGGAGAGAGGGATTAACATTATATTACACTGTGAGTGGAGGGGGCTTGTCGATGCTGGGGGACCCTAATGGGCTTGGGCATTTGATGTATTTGGTATAAGGGTCTTATGTAAGAGTGTGTTTGAAGCACAGTGTATGTATTTGTACAGTGGCTGCTCTGTGTAGCTGTAATTTAGAAAGGGTTGTAGGAACTGAGGACAATTTGCTTTTCAAGTAACTGACACAGGCCTGGATTTGCTTATTTAAGTATTTAATAATATAACTATAGTTGTCAAAAGTCTTTTTATAAAAATAATCAAGAAAAGAGTTACTCGTAATTGGGGTTCACATAGGAAACATGCTGGAAAGGAGGGGACGATATAAGAGTTGGGATTTGCTACTGCTTGCTATATTAGCAAATTATTGGCAATACTTATGTTAGTAATACATATATTACGTGTGTTGGAAAAGATGCAAATGAAATAGCTAAAGGAACTCCAGATGTGTTTATTTCCTATGTTAAGATTTGAGATCCCACAAAGAAAATACAAAACCTTGAACTGATGCTTGTAATTAATTATGGTGAAGAGTCAGGGAGTTAACTAGCCCCGAGGACATTTGCATGGCTAATTATTTTAATTTTTATTCTTGCCTAAAACTATGAGCCATGCTGTGTTTTCAACATAAAATGCTCTTTTGTCTCCAGTCATATACTGGAACTGCTTCATAAAAAATACTAGGTATGGTCCTCAGAATTTTTATCAGAAAGATTAATATGTTTTTTCTTGGGTTTTTTGTCTTTTTGCTTTCTGAGTGGAGGGTTGCTTGTGTATGTGGTAGTCACTGTGATTAACTGGGACTTGCTGTGCTTGGAAGAAATTTTGTTACCTTGATTGTTGGTGTTCCTCACCCTTATTAAATAAACTGCCTAACTGATTGATTGATGATTGATTTTAAGGAAGATTGGCCCTGAGCTAACATCTGTGCCAATCATCTTCCTCTATTTCGTATGTGGGATGCCACCACAGCATGGCTTAATGAGTAGTGCATAGGTCCGCACCTGGGATCTGAACCTGCAACCCCCAGGCTGCTGAAGTGGAACAAGCAAACTTAACCACCATGCCACCGGGCCGGCCCCAACCTCCTGTTTTTAGAACAGCAAAATTTTATCAACTTTGACAAATCCAAATTAATAACCCCTTGTCTCTGAATAAAAGTAGGTGAATCAGGTTGAAGTTACTGCTTCCATTTTCATGGGTTGGGCATGGGCAAACTCTGCATGGGATTTACGGGGTTCAGATTTCATAATCTCCTCATCCATCTGCATATTAACAATCGTCATGGTCAGCATTCTGGAGAGAGAAGTTGAAGAGGAGATGACCCGTACGATGTAGATTTCACGGTGGGAACTGAAAGTAAATTCTGTGTTTGGTTGATCACTTTTTGAAGCTCTCGTGCTCTTTAGGGGAGAAGCCCTGTCTTCTCTGATGTTTATTTGTCAGTATGCGCTTCTGTCTGCTGGAAAATTACCAACTGGATAAGTTACTGCTCTGTTGCATTGCGCCAGATAGTGCCATAGGAAACTGAAGGTGGTACATGATGTGAACTAGAGATCATTTTTTCCTACTTATCAGTTTGCACCCTACAAACAGTTTTCTGGTTTTGAATTGAAAAGAAAAATGTGTGACTTGACTGTGGCTGCCACAAGGTTTATAGAAAACTGAACGCTCCTGAGAAAATTCTCAGCAGGGTAGTATTTCTGTGAAGTGGCAGCTAGAACCCCTTTAGAAAAATGCTGTAACTCACACTTTACTGCACATAAAGTCGCGTCCCTCAGGGCAAGCTCTCTAGTGTCATCGAGTTTATGACTCATGTGTGCTGTACTTTTGTGATGTAATAAACAAGGAAAGGTGGTGGGAGAATTATATTCCTGCACAAAGAGCCACTTTACCTTTCATTATATAGAAAAAAGCCATGGATATTAAACTTTTAGAGTCATTTTCAAGTTGAGCATTGTCTGTGACTGAAATGCATGCACGAAGGTGTTAAGATACTTAAGAACAAAATAACATAAAGTGAAGGTAGCTGTTCCCATTTGGAGCTAAGTTACTGGCAGTGTTTTTGAAGAATAACCCACTCTAGGATTCTGATTTATTCTTTTTCTGTGTTCTCATAGCGTATACCTCCACCACTGAATTTACCCCACACTATACTGATCAGTGCCTTATCTTTTTTGTTTAAAAAAAAATACACTAATTTTTAGAGCAGTTTTACATTCACAGCAAAATTGAGAGAACAGTACAGAGATTTCCTATATTCGCCCTTCCCCATCATATGCATAGTCCCCCCCCATTATCAACATCCTCCATCAGAGTAGTACATTTGTTACAATTGATGAACTACATTGACACACCATTATCCCCCAAAGTTTATAACTTCCATTAGGATTCACTCTTGGTGTTGTACATTCTACGGGTTTGGACAAATGTATAATGACATGTATTCACCATTATGGTATCATATAGAATAATTTCACTGCCCTAAAAATCCTCTGTGCTCCTCCTGTTTATCTCTCCTTCCCTCTCACCCCTGGTAACTACTGATATTTTTACTGTCACCATAGTTTTGGCTTTTCCAGAATGTCATATAGTTGGAATCATCAGTAGGGAGCCTTTTCAGATTGGCTTCTTTCACTTCGCAACATGCATTTAAAGTTACTCCATGTCTTTCCATGGCTTGATAGCTCATTTCTTTTTAGTGCTGAATAGTCCATGGTCTGGATGTACCTTTTTTCTTTTCTTTTGCTGAGGAAGATTAGCCCTGAGCTAAGACCTTTTGCCAATCTTCCTCTTTTTTTTTTTCGCTTGAGGAAGATTGTCCCTGAGCTAACGTCTGTGCCAGTCTTCCTCTATTTTATATGTGGGTCATTGCCACAGCATGGCTGTCAAGTTGTAGGTCTGTGCCCAGGATCTGAATCCTTGAACCTGGGCTGCCAAAGTGCAGTGTGCTGAAGTTAACCACTACACCACAGAGCTGGCTGGCCCCGTCTACATTTTTCATTCGTTCTCAGTGCCTTATTTTTTTTAACTGATTTATGTCAGGGCTGGGACTAGATGAGTGATGCACTCACGAATCAGGATAAATAATATTGTAATGCAATATTTAAAAAATCAAAGTGCCAAAAAATCCACCATGTGCAAAATATCAACATTTTAAATAAAGACAGGATCATGGCAAGCCCTCTCTGCACATCACTGACAACCATACGCAAACTTCCCTGAATCCGTAACCCCCACTGGACATTATCATCTTGCTCTGAAACCTGGTTCTCCCTCAGAGGCACTGTTTCACCTGCCGCCTTCTTTGGTAGAAATTCTGTTCTCACAATCCTGTTAGCATTGTGCCTCGAGGTGACGATGTCCTCCCTCATTTTCACTTCCAAATCATTCTTCCCTTCTCCTCCCTAAACTGCCCCTCATCGCAACTGTGGAATATACCCTCTTGAACTAGGTCACCTGTCTCCTCTACCTTCTGGGGCCATCTGTAGACCTCTTTCCACCCCAGTGGCAAACCCGCTCAATCTTTGAAGATTTTAGCTTCCCACAATCTTGGAAGGTTTTACCTACTGGCTTTCTGTCATCCAGACAACTGCTCCTTTCATGATTCTTAAGTGGTTTTAATATCTACTGTGAGGATCCTTCCAGTATTTCACTTTCTCAGTTCCTTGAGTTTTATTCCTCCAATAATCTTGCCTTCATCATTCTTCGTCAGCCAGTCTCTTCATTGGTCATATTTTAGTCCTTTCAATTACCAATGACTGTAACTCCTCCACAATCTTAATTTCAACTCTTACCTTCCAAGTACTACTTCTCACCTCCTCACTTTCTGTGATAACCTTTATGCCAAAATTCTGGAGCCCATAGCAGGACTCTTTGATATTACAGCCTCTTAACTGTGCTTCACTCCCTTTCATGTTCTCACTTCGTTCCCGTTTAGATTTCATGGCCCATCATTAGAACCATTCCTTTGCCTACACTCTCAATTCTTTTAAATGCCTCTCTCTTCATTATCTGGTAACCCAGTAACTCTGTGAAATGCAAGATTTATGCAAAGGAAAGCCCATTTTAGAAATAAATTTTTATGTTTATATTTTTGTTTCAAATCTCTACTCGTTACTAATCATTAGAAGTGATTTGGTATTTCACACATATATTTTGGTTGATCCAGTTTCACATTTCATTCCAAGTGCTCAGTAAACACCATGATTTACTGAGAACAGTAATCACAGCAAAGGGCTCTAGTTAGTTACCAGGGGAAGAGATTCATGCATACAGATTTTTTATCTAAATGACACTCGTAATAGTGGTTGGATAATTTATTCTTATGTAAATTACTTTGAATAAAGAGAAGGGTTTTTATATAGAAAGCTTCTATGTGTCGTATCCTGTATGTAAAATGTTTACCTAATTGGTGAGATAGGGACGTGTTGAATTTAAGTAAAGGTAATATTATAAGTAATTAAGTAAGTAAAGGTATATCTACTAGAACATTTATTTAGGACATTACAGAATATCGTCCTCGCGCCAGTTTACTTTGCATTGAAAATGACCCTTTGCTTGTAAGAGGGCCCCCTTCTTCTTATCTATTTTACCTCCCCTGAAAAAATAAACAAACCTGAATGGATGCTTTAAAATAAGATAAAAGTCACGTCACTTAATGTTCTGAATGATTGATTAGGTACTTGTCACTTGCAGCTTTTTGTTGACCCTGAGTTTCTCAGGCTTGATCCAAATCAGCAGGCTTGAGGGTTGGGGGGATAGCAGGACTTAGGATAACAGCAGTGGTAGATCAGGTGCTGGCACATGCCAGCCCCTGCCGCACATAACAGTTTATCCTTTTTGTGTGCTCTCCCAGGTCTACCCTGAACTGCAGATCACCAACGTGGTGGAAGCCAACCAACCAGTGACCATCCAGAACTGGTGCAAGAGGGGCCGCAAGCAGTGCAAGACCCACGCGCACATTGTGATTCCCTACCGCTGCTTAGGTGAGCCGGCCAGCCGCGGCCAACCGTGTAGCTGGCACTGATGCCCTGGCCTTTGGGGATGAAAAGAAAGGATGCTCTAATTAGGTCAAATACAGTCATGTGCCGCATAAGGACATTTTGGTCAATAATGGACCACATATACATCCGTGGTCCCGTGAGATTAGTACCATATAACGTAGGTGGGTAGTAGGCTGTACCATCTAGGTTTGTCTAAGTACACTCTATGTTGTTTGCACAACAAGGAAATTGCCTAACGACACCTTTCTCAGCACACATCCCGTCATTAAGCGATGCATGACTGTATACAGGCTCCTCTGTCACTACATTGCTACTCTGTGCTGGACTCTATTTTGGACTGTTAAGGTGGCCTGTGTTCTGATAGTACAGGAGTAGTATTTCTGAATTTCCTGGCTCAGAATGAATTTACCCAGTGTGTGTGCTAAAATTACAAATTCTTGGACCAATCCCAGGACTGCTGAATGAAAATGACTAGTGGTGGGGCCCAGGAGTCCTAATTTTATCAAATTCCATAGGTGATTCTCATGTACGCTAACTATCTGGACTTGTAGAATTAGGGCCTTGTGTGTTTCTTCACACAGACATTGTAAAAGAAGGAACCTAATGTGGAGCTCCAACATTTTGCTGATTTTTTAAAAATCTCTTTCTGAAACAACTGGCTACTCTATTTGGCGAGAGTTGGGGTATTGGAGTTGGTGAATTTATTTTTCCTGCTTAATTAAACTGGAAGAAACAGTTTGATTTCTAATGTTTAAATGTATGTTTCTCTCATAGCCCTCAAATTTTACTTTTTTATTTTAACAATTGAGTTTTATGTGGTATCATACTTTCTTCCTCTGGAAACAGTGTCATACTCCGTATTTAATCTGACTTGGTTATTAGTCTCTTCCTAGTTGATATTTTTATCTGACCAGGCTTTGTGGATATTGGCAATCATTGATTGGATAGCTATCATCTACATGTTTTCCATAAGTTTATTCGTCAGTAAGATGGTTGTAAATAAGGACATAGAGATCCATGTATGGAGGCTGTGGACAAATGTTGATGTATATTCCAATGACTTCTTGTAAAAACTAAAAGGGATCTTTTAAAAAAGTTCCCAATAGCAAACTGAGAAAGTAAGGGTAATGAGGATTCTAGAGATCTGTATAATGCTTGCTCAAACATGTATGTCATAGAGCAAACTGATTACTCTTCATGCATGCACGTAATTTGAGACATTGATAGAAAGCACTGGGCATTGGAATGAAGATTTCCTCTGTGGACTTACTGCTCACAATGTCATTGATAGAGAGAGTGGAAAATCAGATTCATAAACTTTTGATAATTCAAGAGTTTCCTTGTTCCTCCTTATTCCTTATTCCTAAATACTTTACAAAGCCTCTCACCCTTTTCTGTCTGACTGGTCAAGAAGTGAAGATTTAATAAGATGAAAATAAATAATGTTTAAATACTAGATACAAAGCTCTGACTTCAAGAAAATATAGGGATCAGCTGTCTGCAGGAACTGCGTATTTCAAACCAACTTAGTCGCTACACCAAGAGACCATATAATTCAGTACAAATAGGAAGTAGGTCACAAATCAGTTAATCAAGTGGGCCAGGCCTTGTTAATGATTTGTGTCTTTAGTTCTCACTTGCCCACTCTATGAAATGTTTCAAATACATTTTCTTTAGAATCTAAGCTCGCTGGAAACTGGTACTAGATCTTTGGATGAGCATTATTGCTAATGACACCTGATATGACAGTCATAACACCTCATTTTGCTTAGATCCTCCAGCTTCATAAATCTATTTCAGAAGTGTGAGAATTGACTAAAAGGTAGAATCCCCATTAAGACTGTAATTCGTTCCCATAGCACCACTTAGTTGTGTCAGTTTTCCTTTGACCCCAGATCACTTGGATCCCTTCTGCCAGCCACTCTCCCTGCCCCTACTCCACGCCTCCCCATCTCTGAAAAGTACATCCCCGTCTACTCCTGTGGCAAGAGTGAGTTGAAACTCCCAGGGAAAAACCACTGCGAAAAGGAACAAGAAATGTATCTGATGTCTTTAGATCTAAATATGAAGTCTGAAGATTTTATGCTAATGCTATGATTAACTGTCAAAATATTTGGTTTTATCGTGATAAACTGCTTTATGGAACCATTTGGGAAAATTCCATTCTAAGCAGTCTCACTTCACGGGCACCAATATTGAGAGTCAGCGAGGTTGGATGTAACTCACACAGGGACTTAGTAGTAGAATCAGGACCGAAGCCCAAGATCTTTCGATTCTCAATCCAGTGCTCCTTACGGTATTAACGAAAAGTTGTTTTAGAGCAAATAACCACGTGATTTACAAAATCGAATCACAGAGGAAAGACTGTGAACTGGAGGCAATCAATAACACCTTTTTAAAAACTCACAGTAGGGTCCTGCCTGGTGGCGTACTGGTTAAGTTTACATGTTCTGCTTCAGCGGCCGGGGTTTGCGAGTTCAGATCCCACGTGCGGACCTACACTGTCAGGCCCCACTGTGGCAGCATCCCACATACAAAAAACAGAGGGAGATTAGCATGGATGTTAGCTTAGGGCCAATCTTCCTCGCACTCACACCCACACACAAACTCACAGCAGATGTTGTGTTCATAAAGGAGACAACCATGACCCTGAAACAGGATAAATCTCCATGTGACAACATTTTCTACTTTATGGTAGTAATAGGCAGCGTTCTTATATATTACTTGCTGCTCGAACTGAAAATTACTGTTTAGCATTGCCACGAATACCCTCTGACCTCTCTGGCTGTATCCAAATATATCCTTTACACAAAAGAGATTATTTTCCTGAAGATAATTCTCAGAAAGGAGATACCTAGAAAGCAAAATAAGCTTATCTTAGACATTAAGCATATTAAAATTCAAAATAGAGCTTGAAGAGAGAAAAATGCCTGTTATGTCTAGCATGCAATCTTCTTGTCTTTTCTGTCAGATGCAGGATCCGGTGTTACACTGGGTTATTTTCTCTAAATCGTGTATTTACGTTGGGCATACTTGCTCTACAGTATCTTGCATTCCTTGTCTAGATGGAGAAAGTATATTAGGTTACTGTTGAGACTTTCTTCCCATGGAGCGGATGATTTCCCTTGAGAGCGAGTTGGTTTTCTCATTTCACCCTTTGCTTTTGATTGTGCCTCTGGAACCACAGTGTAAGATTTGTCTTAATCATATGAACATTTTATTAATTATCGCATTTGCGATTCAAGCACCTCATTATCCTTGCTCAAAGAGAATATTTTCTTTGCAAAGCTTTGACTCCTTTCTTGCAAGGGAGTTGAAACTCCTTTCCACTTGAATAACTTGTCTTCATGGCGTAATAGATCCACTGTTGAAACTGACACTTCTGCACTTGTCTATCCTGTAAAGGCGAGGTACATTGCATAAGATAAATTACTGTTGACTTATGGGGTAAAATCGGGTTAATAACTTAATCCAAAACAAATAGAAATTAAAGAGTTACTACCTTAAATGTCACTCTGTTTCATTTTAGATTCAAGACTTTTCAAACAAAGAAGTAGTAATGACCAGGAAACTATTCAGATAGGATTAAACGAGAAACTGAAAGTAGTCAAATCATCTTCTTTTTTATTTTTAATTGTTCTAATAAAAATTTTAGGACAAGCATACATTGTTTTTTGGTGACTACTTTTGTCTGAATTATCTACAGCTATCTTAATCTTCTTTAGTGTGAAAAGGATATATTAGGTATTCTGACAGATATTGTACCAGAGTAGTTTTTTGGATTTATACCAAACAACCATTCTCTTTTTTTTTTTGAGGAAGATTAGCCCTGAGCTAACTGCTGCCAATCCTCTTCTTTTTGCTGAGGAAGACTGGCCCTGAGCCAACATCCATGCCCATCTTCCTCTACTTTGTATGTGGGATGCCTACCACAACATGGTGTGCCAAGTGGTGCCATGTCCACACCTGGGATCTGAACCAGCGAACCCCGGGCTGCCAAAGCAGAACGTGCGTGCTTAACCACTGTGCCACTGGGCCGGCCCGATGATTCTCTTGAGATGCATCATATAGCAGAACAATGTTCAAGAAGGTTACATTAGACTTTGCCAAATTTTAAGAATGGGGATCCTTGAGGGACATTTGGTCCTGTCTAAAATGTCTGTAAGACATTTGGGCCACACCAAAAGGTCCTTGACATTTGGTCCTATCCAAAACGTCCATGAGCACATTTGGTCCACACCAAATGGTTTTGGACAGGACCAAATACTAAGGATCTTTTGATGTGGACCCAATGTCTCCATGGATGTTTTAGACAGGACCAAATACGACCAAATATCAAGGACCTTTTGGTGTGGACCTAATGGCTTATGAACGTTTTGAACGGGATCAAATGTCTGCTGATCATGGGGGTGGGGATGGGAGAAATTTGTGTTGTAGACTTGAAGGAATCTTGTAAATGTCCAGCCACATTAATCCAGTGTGACAGCGAGTCAGTGCCTCTGGCTCCTCCGGGGCGCTCCGACCTCTGTATTCTCTAGATCCTACCGCTTATGAAGTCCTGGGAGATGCATGTGCTGGGGTTATATACATATATATGATGGGAATGATGCTTGATGAGCCTGGCATCTGCACACAAGGGGGATGCAAATTCTTAAATGTTCTGTATTTTTAAGGATTGTCTACATCATGCTCTCATAAGGAATGACTAGAATCCCTAGGCGTTTCTTCTTCAGGGAAGGCTAATTGCTATTCTTGGAGAGACATCAGACTCCTTTTTCTGTGGCTTCCACGTGGGACCTTTGAATATTCCAAGTTAGTCATACTTCAAAACCAGTATATAGAGTCTGATTCTCAAATGTGTGAAAGAAAATATGCATGGAAGAGAAGCCTTACCAGTGTTTCTCTCCAAACAATGGGATTACGGGTGATTTTGATTTTATTTAAGCCTTCCTCTATGGACTTCTAGAATAAATGAGTTGCTT